GACGATACAGCAGTAGGGGAGCATGTTCAGTATAAGCAGGGATATGATGAGGACAATGCTTACGCGTGCTTAAAGCATGTACACACCAGCCTGGACCCCAAACAGTGTGTTCTAGCACTTTCTGTGGTGTAAGTTATGTGGTGCAATCTGTGTGGTTCAACCTACGTTGTGCTCTAACGTATTGCACTCTACCTGAGCGCTGGCTATGGTATAAGTTGTGTGATGAAGTCTATGCAGTGTCAGTTGTGTTAGTTAAGTGGTGCAAACTATTTGGTGCATTCCTTGTTTGCAGCAATAAATACGGTGCCATCTACGTAGTGCAATCTATGTGTTCAACCTCTGTGGTACATTCTAGGTGCAAGCCATGTGGTGTAAGCTATGCGGTGCAAGCTACGTTCAGCGATCTATGTGGTTTAAGCGATGTGATGCAACCATCGTTGTGCAACTTAGGTGGTGTAAGCCGTGCGGTTTGACACACGTGGTGTCAGCTACCTGAAGTAATCTATGGTATGCCGTATATGTGGTGCGATATACCTGGTGCACCATATGGGACGCAACCGATGTGGGGCAATATATGTGGGGCAACCTATGTAGTGTAATCTAGGAGGTACAATCAATGTGGCGCAATCCATATGGAGTTAGCTAGGTTGTGCGAACGGGGAGAAGAAGATGGTGACAGTGGAGTACCCGAACTCTGGAGTAACCCCACACGCGTGAGAAATCAAACCCCAGCGTCACGACCGTCCTGCGGAGGGTCGTGGTCCAGAGGATGTAGCCTTTCAGCCATGTCGGTACCCAGGACAACCAGCGCCATCTCAACGGCGGCAGTCAGCTTGGTCGCACGCGCGGTGGGGCTCTGTGAGTCGGAGTAGCACACCCACCCCGACTTGCTAAGAACCCTCGGTGCCGTAGACCACCAATGAAAGGGTCATCCATATCTTCTGGCAATGCCAGCTCGTGAGAAATGATAGGTTGGGCACTCCGCCCAGTAGTGTCGAAAGGAGGGCGACGCTGCCCCGCACTGGCGGCAGGCCTTCCTCGAGCAGCGTCGCGTCTCAGATGATACAGCTCCAACACGAAACATACGCACGAGCCTGCGATCATCCTCTCCCAGACGCTTGAAGAACCGTTTGTACACCATATTCGACTCCGCATCCACGTCCACGTCTAGGATCTCTTCAGCGTCGAAACGTTTGTCATTGACCTCGGCCAACCATCTGATCCTTGCCACACAGCGCAGCAAGTGTTCGACCTTCTTCTCATGGCGTGGGTGATCAGGTCTGTGAGTCCAGAACCTCCTCTGGCCATCCACAATACCTTCTGGCACCCTAGCCACTCTGTGATCGTCAGTGTCGCTCACCTCGAGGCAGCAACCACGGCGACCCGCGGAGGCAACACAACGAAGGCCCAGCACTTGGGCATGCGTGATCATCGCATTCTCCAGGAAGGTCGACCACACGAGGCGCTGATGCGAGATGGCTTTCAAGGCCTGCAGGGGTCCCGACAGGCGAGGTTGTAGATGTACATGTTGTGCCCACCGTCGTCCGAAGCAACACCAGCGATTGGTCGACCTGGTAATCGATCGATACAGCGCTCTGCATGTCGAAACAGGAGGTGGCGTCAACAGGGGGCAAGCCCACAACCAACGCGGGCGAATGTAAGCAACTGCGAGCCGAGCACGGATCTCCGCGCCTCCAGGTACCGTTGCGAGCACACGAATCGCTGTATGAAGCTCGTCCCACCCCCCCCGAGGCTGGATTGGGGTCGGTGCATCCGCTGGAGTCGCCACGATCCCTAGGTGTTCCACTGCCGTAGGAGGTTGATCCGAGCGAGCACACAACTGCCGCTTTCGCACGTTCTCCTTGAAACCGACGTCCCTGTCGAAGCGTTGGGTGTAGTCCAAATCCCTGGCCAGCTCCTGGGCCGAGGAAGACGTGAGGGACCTGTCCTCCATAAAAGCGTAACCAACTGGCGGTTGCCACAATCATAGTAGCAGGGGCCACTGAATCACCTTGAGGGAGCCCTCTCCCACGGCGTGATCAATCTTGTCGTACGCTCTGCTGAGATCCACCTCGGCACCTGCCTCGGCGGCTTCACATGAATGTAACCAGCTGCTGATCGCATGGACGACGCTTGTCGCAAGCCGCCCTGCGAACTGGTTGTCTGGAGGCTGTGGCATCCCAGCAGACAAGGCCGATCACCAAACTCTGACCAGGATCGAGCCCACTGAAATAGGACGAAATTCAACTTCACGTTTGGGAATTCCCACAACACGCCAAGGACAGATCATGTCGAACGTGTCCTGGTCCAGAATGCCCTGGGCGCCCACGCACTCACGGCTGGTGTCACACCAGAGCTCGTGCAACCGAACAGTCATGTCGGGGAAGAGGCGTCCTAGAAGCTTGAGCTCCGCGGCCGTCCATCCGCCCAGCCCAGGAGCACCGTGGCACTTCGCAAGGATATCGTCAAAATGCACAAAGTTCGGCAGGCGATGCTCCTCCCGCGTCGCTTGAGGGACAGAAACATCAGCTGCCCATTGTTGCCACCGGGTACAGTGGCCGGCAGCATCGTGTTGAGCAGGATCTGGGGCCCATTGCTGTTCCCACTCCTGGCGCATCTCCACTGCATCCGCTGGGGCAGTCGGCGAGGACGCCCTGAAGAGCGGAGTGGCCAGCTTGTAGATGTCCTTAGTCCAACTAGCGAGTCGCTTTCGCCAGTCTCGGGATTGGGCATCTTGAGTGCGTCGTTGTTGCTGCGAAATGCCTGCGCTCAGCAAGTCCAGGGCCTAGGCGTGGTTCGGGATCCCGTAGAGCGGTACTGCGAAAAGCCCATCACACCCTGCCCGTGCGAAACGTTCAAGAAGAGAGCCAGTCATACTCTTGAATGCCAAAGTAGGGTACTGCTTGATGTGCTCTGTCACCTGTCGATGTAGTCGTAGCAGCCGGCGAAGGGCGATAGTCTGGGCGAGCCGATGGGGGGCACCATGGCACGTCGGCTTCGTCGAAGGAGCCGGCCCCTTGGCGCGCTCACCTTGCCGCTCCACCGAGGCGTAGTCGTGCTCGACGGCCAGCTTGAGTGCCAGTTCAGCGCGTGCGTGCCAGTGCTTCCACTTGGCGGTCAAAGGGGCCTGTTCAGGATCACCCAGAGCAGGGTCACCAAGTCCAGGCATCCTTGCATCCAGTTCGGCTCGAAGTGCATCCAGCTGATGTTGAAACTCAGGAAAACCTTTCGTCGTATAGGGCGCCGTGTGGCGCAGTCGGTGTTGAGGACGATGATGCATCGGCTCCTGCAGCGCGTAGAAGACCATGCCATGGAAGGGTACCCCAGGGAGCATCTTCACGGCGAGGCACTTCGGCAAGTACGGAACAGGCGGCCCATAGTAGAGACACCTCGTAGGAGTGGTACCTGACGTGGTAGTGGCAAGCGATGCTGGACACAAGGCCCACCCAGGACTCAGCATATAATTGTACCGTGCTTGCCAGTTCAGGTCTCCGATGACATACAGTGGACAGCCCTGAACGGCAAGAGTCTGTGCGAAAGAGAAAAACCCTGTCCACCAAGCTGGGCCTTCATCGACAGTCCCCGAAGACCGACAGGCAGGTGCAGTTCGTCGTCTTGATGCTGCCCACGACCCTGTGGCCAGATCAGGGCTCACGGATGAACGAGATCTTCCCGACCGCCCGTTTGGCTTCCACGCAGTGGCACACCCCCCTTGACGGACAGCGGCTGTGCGTGTAGGTGGTGGCGGCGGTGAACAGGCCACCGCCCAGCCCCATCGCTCGAAACACTGTAGAGCCCACCGAGGACGCTCTTCACTTTGACGGAGTTCTTGAAGGAGTAGGAGTGAAAAATCAGAAGCACTGCGCAGCGCCTCCTCGAGGCGCGCCTTGGTGAGACAAGTCACATTCAAGGTGGCAACAGTGGTGCTGATGTCCATGGGATCACACGGCTGCGTCTCCTGGGAGTCGCCGCCTCCAACCAGTGGATCCTCAGCTCGTAAACGCGAAGCTCGACGATGACAGGCTTGTCGAGCCGTGAAACATGTGTAATATAGTCAAGATGAGGATGCCGCCGCCGCGGGACGCGTCCTCACCAACCGTGATACTGGAACAGGAAGACCAGCTCGGCGCAGTGCAGCCCGCTTGTAGGTTGTGCTATCTGTGCTAAGCAAACGTTGTGTTGCAATCCGTGTGGTGCAGGCTGGGTGGTGCCGCTTGTGCGATGGGATCCATGCGGCGCGGAACGCATGGCGCAAGGGAGGTCGCCGATGCCGTGTATGCTAAGCAACCCACGCAGTGCACTCGATGCGGTGCAATCTACGAGGCTCGTGCACTCACAACCGCGACCAACCTGCGGCGGCGGCGCACAGTGGCGGCGGGGCGGCGCGGCGACGAGGTGGCGACGCTGGCCACACGGCGGCCCGAGCGGCCCGCAGTCCCCGGCGACGGGCGGCGCCGAGGCGGCGAGGAGGCGGCGACGAGGCGGCGGCGGCCACGTGGCGGCCTGAGTCGCCCGCAGGCCCTGGCGACGAGGCGGCGACGAGGCGGCGACGAGGCGGCGACGGCGGCCGCGTGGCCGGCAGAGCGGCCCGCAGGCCCAGTTCCTCAGAAACGAAGTCACAGCCCCCAATTGCAAGCATTGTTGAGGTAACAGGAGGACCCAGAGGGCACAAAGCGTCAGTGTGCGCCCACCTTCGTCCCTGAGAGGCACCAGCTGGCGCGCACTCCTGTGAGTGCCAGCTCCCGCAGGGGCGGCGAAGACAAGGAGCCTCGGGCGAGACTCGACGTACTGAGCGTAGGTGGGGCTTCACACATGGGCATGCAAGTTTCCAGCCCTCCTACCAATATCAGGCAGTCGAGCAGCACAGGGAGGGTCAGGAGGAGGACGAGGAGGAGGAGGAGCAGGAGCAGGAGGAGGAGGAGGAGGAGGAGGAGGAGGAGAATGGATAATGAAAAGGATAGACGAAATCAGGTGGGGGGTGCATGAGATTTGCTGGGCAGGTGCCGCCATGCAGATCAAGGACGCGCTGCACATCCAGAACGTCGAGCTGCAGCAGCGGCTAGAGGCCGCGCAGCAGAGCACCGAGGCGCGCGCGATCGGGGGTGCTCCGTGGCAACATGGCCACATTTCCCTGGGGCGGCGGCGGCCTGCGCAGCATCGGTGGGGTGCAACTGGGTGGATGGCCAGGGTCTGGGGGATGAAGAGGTACCCATACCTCTACTCTCTCCTCGTTTTCCCCTTTCTGGGCCTCCTGGGAGGCCCTCGTCGCCACCGCTGGATTCGCCTCGAAATCCTGGTCAGAACGCACCCCGGGAGAGGTCCGGGGAGTAGCGGTATCGGTACCTTTTGGTTTCCCCAGGCCAGGGTCTGGGGGAGGGACAGCACCAGCACGAGCGAGCCGAGCCCACGCACCTGAGGACGCGCAGCCCGACGGGGGAGAAAGAGGGGACGGGGGGGGGGGGGGCGGAGGAGGAGAAGGGGGGCTGAGCGGCGGCGGTGGCAGCACAGCAGGAGCCAGGCGGCAGGCGTCCTCCGTCGCCTGCGCCTCGCGCGCACCCGCCGCTGCGCCACCGCCAGGGGCCGCACGGGCCCGCCCGACGCCGGGCCGTGGTGCCTGAAACCCAGCGGCTCCCACCCCTCGGTGCTGCGCGGGGAGGGAGGCCCGCCGCCCGACGGCCTGTCCGGGTGGCCTCCCTGCAGGGCTTGGCCGCCCCGCTGGGGCACTTGCTCGGGCAGCGCGAGGCGGCGGCCCGAAAGCGCAGGTCGCCCCGTGGCCGTCCCGCCTCGTGGTCACCCTCGTCCGGCGGGGGCCCCGGGGTCCGCCCGCACGGCGGCCAGCCCTGCCATGACCGCGAGCGGAGCACCGATGGTTGGTGCCGCTGTGGCCCGTCTCGCCAGGGTCCACTGCTGCCACGGCTGGCCGCCCCGGCCCGCTCGACGCCGAAGTCTTCCACGTCCGAGTGCGCCTCCTCCCCCCGTCCTCCGCGCAGCCGCCATCGTCCTTTGGCCCTCGCTTTCCTGCCGGCCAATTGGCCATTCGGTTGCCCCGAATGCCAGCCGCTGGAGCGGACCGCCTCTGTCTCGCCGCCGGCGGCAAAGTTTCGCCAGGGTCACCGACGCCTTCTGCGTGGGCGCTGGCGCCGCAGCCGTCCGCGACGCCATGGCGTCCGCTGCAGCGGCGGCCCGCTGCCTGCGGACGACGTCAACCGTCGTGGGCGTTGCGCTGGAGCCTCGCGACATCGCCGCGGCGACGGCGCGCGAGCGATTCCGAGGTGCGTGGGCTGCCCGTCCGCACGCGACGATGGACGCTGCGGGCAGGTCAGGAGGGGAAACAACATGTGGACATAATAAATCGTCGCCCCCCAGGTAAATGTAGGCAAGTGTAGGAAATGGGGGGGGGACGAGACGGACACCCAGCACTTATGGGAACACCTGGGGAATTTTGGCAGTTGTGTTTCTCTGTTTGTGTGTCCTTGGGCCCCCTAACAAGGGCGGGCCTGCGCACGGGGATCCGAAGACGAATGTCGGAGGCCTGGGGGATAGCACCAGCAGCAGTATCGGCGATTGCCCCCACCGAGAGAAGATGACCCTGATCTCTGTGATGGTGGTGCGATTCAGGCTTTTCAGGTTGCCGAGGGATCACCGCCAGCAACACCATCCAGGACCTTCTTGCCCTGATGGAGGCCCCCCCCTGTCTTGGTATTGGTACCAGAAGGCCGCCGAGACTGGGCGAGGGGGGCTGACTTTCTTACCGTTTGAGGGAGCGCACGGACGCCGAAAATGGTGCGGCCCTGAAATTCGTTAGTATCGCCATCCGACGTGGTGCCGTGGAGTCCCACCACGTGACGTGCGTTCCCCAGTGTTTCCCACGGGACCTTCCCGCGCGACGATGGTCTGGTGGTTCGACCAGAATTGGCCGGGGGAAGAGGGGGAACGGTTATTTTACGATTCGTTGCCGGTGGATGTGAACGAGGCTGCGAGCGCCTTCGAAATTCTCTTTGCAATGAGCTTGAAGCATGCCGCCCATACTGGAGACGAGTCCGCGATCGGATAATCAGTTCGCTAGCTATCTCTTCTCCTCGCTTCTCTTTCTCCGCCTTTCCCTCCAACCCTGCGCCCTCCCCCTCTCTTCTCCCCCTTTTTCCCCCTTCTCCCGCCCTCGTCTTTCTCCGCCTCCCTCCCTCCGCGCACTCACTCTATCCCCCCCCCCCCCCGCTCGCCGCCCCCTGGCCCTCCTCCCTCGCCAGACCCCCCTTCGGCCCCCTTCGTGCACGGCTGCCGCGGCAGGACTCGGACCAGAAGAAGACCTGCGTCGTGTGCATGGACAACCTGCCGAACGTGGTCTGCCTGCCCTGCAAGCACCTGGGGCTCTGCAGCATCTGCAGCCAGGCCTGCAGCCTCACGCAGGCCCCCCCCCCCCCCGCGCCCCTCCGGGCCCGCTGCCGGGCGCGGCGGCGCCGCGCGCGAGAGGGCCCTCGCGCGCCCGTGCGGCGGTGCTCTGGGCGTGGCTCGGGCGTGGGCGTGCGCTCTCTGCGAGGACGGGGACCTTTCGATGAGCATCTTTGCTCGACACCGAGCACGAAGCCGACGAGTGCACGGGACGGGGACGAGGACCAGCGAGGGCGAGGGCGAGGACGAGGACGAGGCCCAGCGAGGAGCATCTCTGTTCAGATGGGGGAGTGACAGCACGAGGCCGACGCATGCACGGGGTACGGGCGTCCGGTGGGAAGCGCTTCGCGCGGCCCGCCTTGGACGGAGGGCGGCAGTCTGCCGTGACGTGCGTGCTGCGATGCTCTGTGCGTTACCGATCTCAGCCAGTTTTCGCCGGCGACGCCGGGTCCTCTTCAGCACCAGAAGCTGCTGCGATGATCCCGCGTGCGGGCTCAGCAGCGTGCGGGCAAGGCAGTGATCTGTGAGGTTGAGTAATGAACTCCGCTCCGGGCCTAGCCTGCCTGTCGTGCCACCTCACTCCGCGTCCCACCTCCGCAATTTTTGTTGTTGCCCGTGGGGCTCGGTCGTAAAACTTGTCTGGCACTTTCGATGTGAACTGACCTCTCTGCACTGCGACTGGTTTGGCCGCTGGCTTGGCATCGCTCGGACGTGTGCATTTTTCCTTCGGCGAGGACCATCGAGGAGCATCCTTGATCATTTGGCGAAACAACCACGCGCGAAACCGACAAACATCACAGGGAATGGACGTCCGAGCGATGGCGAGTGTTCGGTGTGTCCTCAGCACTGCCCAGCAGACGACTCGTTGGGCTCGTGCCGCCTCGGTTCCGTGTGTCGACGCGGCCCGTGGCTCGCCCCGGTGCCCGGAGGACTCCACACCGGTGGGGGTCGGCATCGCTCGGACGTGTGCATTTTTCTTTCGGCGAGGACCATCGAGGAGCATCCTTGATCATTTGGCGAAAAAATCCACGCACGAAACCGAAAAATGCACAGGGAATGGACGTCCGAGCGATGGCGAGGTGGGGGTAGGTATCTGATGGCCTTCGGCCCACCCCGCCACCTTTCCCTGGGCTGCGGGTATGAAGCCTATCGGACGTTCGCTGGGATCTCGCGGGAGGCTTCTCGTGGGCCTCTTGTGGGGGGGCAGTCTGGACGCCCCGTGGGGGGCGTCTGGGGGCCTCTTTTGGGCCTCTTTGGGGCCTCTTGGGTCTCGGGGGCCTCTTGGGGCCTCCTGGGCGCCTCTCGGGGCTGAAGTCTCGGAGTTTCCGGTCGTGTTCCCTCTATTTGACCACGTTTGCGGCAGTTTTGGTGCCCTCGTGGGCCGTCTTGGGCGTGTTTTGGGCTGTCTTGGGGCCCCCTCGGGCCATTTTGGGTCCCTTTTGGAGGCCTCTTGGGCAGTCTTGAGGCGGTTTTGGGGGCCTCGAGGGCCGCCTGGGAGCGTCGGGAAACCGACACTGCGAGAATGGCGAAATCCTTTACAATTCTTTGGACAATCTATCAACGATTTTGGCCTCTTGGAGATCTCTGGGGGCGTCTTGGGGGCCTCTCTGGGTGCCATCTCGGGCGTCCTGGGCCGATCTCTCCGCGACGGGACGGGGTGGCCCTCGAAGCACCAAAGAGGCCTCACCTTGCAACAGGAAGAAGCCTGTCGGACGCGGCAGCCTGCCATAGGCACGATGGCTGCGCAAGTCGAACTTGTTTTTTCCCCGGGGTGGATCCAGATCCTGCTTCTCTTGCCCGTGCTCGTGTGATCGCCTGTTCACACTCTCTGATGCGAGTCCGTGCTGCGTGCTCCCCCCCCTCCCGCAGTGTCCCATATGCCGCAGCGAGATCATTGACAAGATGCAGGTGTACCTTGTCTGAGCGCGAGGAGGGGAGGGGCTTCTCTGGTGGGCTCCCGACGTGCTGCTCGAGTCCTGAAGCCACTGCCCGCACAGGCGTTTAGTCGGTCGGCGTTTCCATCCTCAGCGGAACCTGTACTTCGGGGGCGGACGCCCCATTGTTCAGTCGCTTCGTTCCCTCCGATTCCTTTTGAAGATGCCCCCGCTGCGTCGAGTGTTCGCCCATCGCGAGGCAGACTGTTCGTTCCATGGGGGCTGCTCTGGTCCTCGCAGGACGCCAACCCACGCTTGGCTTTCGGCCCCCCGGCGCCCTGTCCGATCGCGTGGGCCATGGCCACGGTCGAGCGCAGGATATCCCATGCAACGGCCGACCCGAAGTGTCTGGAGCCCTGGCCTGCTCAGTCCGCCTCTTGAGGCCCAGGAGCCTGGCGGGCCTAACGTCTCGCCCCGCCGCTCTCCAGTCGGCCTCCGCCGCCACGGCAGGGGGGCCTCCCTCGCCGCTCCGGGGCCACCCCGCGGGGCGCGAAGGCAGCCACGCTTCGTGCGTCGGCGGCTTAGCTCGCTGAGCTGGCCTTCTCCAGCGGACTGGCGCAAGGGCGCGGAAGGCTGCGTGTCCTGTGCGTCTTGGGAGAAGGCTTGGAAGGCTGCTCAACAATGCTGGAGACCTTCTGACCCTTCGGGGAGGCCCGCCCATTCTGCCTCCCCCTTCA